AACTTTCATCAAAATAATCAGACATTAAATAAAATGAATTAAAAAAAAAAGTTACAATTATAAATAAGTAATATTAATAAGTTAATACTAATAAATATATAAATTGCTTATAATTAACGAATTAATTAATTTCTTACTATTATCCTCAATGCACCAAAGGTTTAAAAAAAATTAATAATATTACAAGCAAAAACAAAACGCACTGACAAGAGACAATATTTCTGTTTTCTAATTGGTCAGTCCAGGACGTCCCAATCTTTCAGGTGTCAGATTTGTATACATATTATACATAAAATGAAATGTCTGCTTATCTGACTAAAATAACAAAACTAATTTAGTTAGAGAAATTAGAAAGAGACAGAAGTTTAAAAATACAACTGACCTCAACCAGTGATTAAAGAGAAATATATATGAAACATGAATGGATCGAAACTATATTTACATCATAGGACCTTTAACTTGTTTGCGAGAACGCTTTTCACCAACGGAACCACTTGTTTTGTGAGAAGTAGATCTTGTAGCTTCATCAAGTGGTGATTGTGATGCTGGGTATTCCAGACGGAGTTTGCGCAGCTCGGAAATAGATTCAAACCTGCGTCGCAGATTGTTAGGGAGTTGGACAACAATTCTACCATCAGAGGTCCAGCAGTTCCTTATCCCAAAATGTTTGCGAGCCTCCATAAACACGTCATGACGAGGCTTCGTGAGAAACTCTGATAATGTTAACCCAGAACCTTTAAGCTTTGTTTTATTGTTCCAAGCTTCATTCCTCAGACGATAACTCTGGAACCGTATTAGAAGAGGACGTGGCTTTTTAGTGTCACTTCCTAGGCGATGACACGATTCAATGTCATTGGCTGAGATGTTGGGCAATTTAAGTTTGTCAGATAATAGTGAGACAGCCCGGGAAGGTTGCACATCTTCATTCTCCTCCTTTAGACCATGCAGTAGCAGGACTTTTCGCCGTGACGCCATCTCATGCCTATCCAGGCCAAGTAACAGCAGCTCCATTTGTGACTTTAGCATGGCCATAGTTTTCCAGATAAGGGATTTAAATTCTGCAAAGTCACGTGAGAGACTTGATATGTTTTTATGAGCTGTATCAGGGCCCTTTGCATTCTTCAGGTCATCTTCATACTGTGTCATTCGAGCTTCAAAGGTGGAAGAGAGCTCCTCCATGCACGTAGAAAGTTTAGTGTACAGATCCATAATGATTGAAATTCAGAACTTGTGATGTTGTCAGTTCAAGTGAAAGTGTAAAGTAGAGAAATAAGTATATTTATTGCACTAGAGGATATAGGTTTATTTCAACACTTAATTGCCATTTATAACTAAATTATATATTATTAAAATAAAATACAAAATCAGAGCACAAATTTTTTGATGGTGACACTTTGACTACCCTCACACTTATCACTCAGAAATCAATTATTAGAAAAGTTATTTTTAAAGACAACTCCCACGCTAGGAATATATCGGGGACAGAACAACAATTTGTGAATCACACAAAGTGTTGTATATGGGGATCGGTTCCACTACACTCAGCGCAGTAGGAAGCAGCGTGGTGACCGCTTAACCACTACGCCAGTTGTGCAGTCATAATCATAATCTTTCGTAGTCTCTCATAATCAATGTTTAACTTACTGTAATATACTTCCAATCCCTGTCTTGCCTCAGTGGACAGATGGCAGAGTTGCCCTCTCCATCAGCTACCACATACTTGCCCAAAAACAAATCAATGGAGTCCTGAAAATATCAAAACAAATTAAATGGGCACAACACTAAGAAATACAGCCACATTCCCAGTAGTAACCATAAACAATAAAAAAAGGTTTGCATTCTGCATTTGAATCATTAACTTTTAAGAAAAATATTGGCCGACTTTTGACTGACTGGCCTATCGCTCTAGTGGTTAGTGACCCTGACTATTAAGCGAGAGGTTGTGGGATCGATTCCCACCCAGAGCAAATATTTGTGTTATGAGCACGATCATTTGTTCTGAGTCTGGGTGTAATTTATCTTGGATATGTACGTATTTAGATTTACACGGTGATTTTGAAAGCGTTTTGGAACAGAAAATTTTGAATTATTTATCAATAACAGAAGCTATATATAACGTAAATTTAATAAAAAAAAATCGGTTGTCTGTAAAGTCGGTTTACTGACGATAGTTGAACGTGACAACGTCATAAGAAAATACTGATGGAATGGTTGCATTTTACGAAAACATGTAAATGTATTATTGTATAGCAGCTGTCCACGCGGACGCATCGCTCACTCAAGTAGGAGAGAGACAGATGTCAAACGCTGCCGAAGGCCGATTGTGCCTCTTTGTCGCTCGTTCCGCGCTCTCGCTTGCACTTCAAGCCTTAAATGGAACGCCTCAGAGCGAGGTAACGCCGCATGAGTCATGTTTTTTCGTGCGTGCAGCCGGCTCCATCGAATTATAAGACGTTGTCACGTCAAAAATATTTTAATCAAAGTCGATATTCATATCGTTTACAGAGAAAAAGTGAGAACCAGTAGTAGTAGCGCTATTCAATCACACGTAGGTAAATAATACAAATAGAAATACTATGCGTTTTAATATCGAGTCACATAAAATCGTATTCGCCAATAACAACAAATCTACCGAGTTGCGCCGGAGTCGTCCAATCAATGACGGCATTGCACTGAGTCGTAGGTATGCTCCGTAGGCGCATGCGCGGGACTCACCTGTAATCGTGAGGCGTCCTTCGCTTTCAGTCGGTCAGTGATGATGATGATGATGTAATCCGGCCGGTTTAGCTGAACTCGATGCCAAGCGCGATGATCTCAAAGCCCGTCCACTCGCCGTCATTCACTATAATTATGAGAGCGGCAAGCTCACCTGCCCACTCTGTGCAAGGGAGTTTGCTGCGAAAATCGGCTATATAAGCCATCTCCGGGCGCATCAGCGCCAGGTCCCATAAGGGGTCGATGTGGTCGCCATGGCCGAAATCGGTCGGATTACATCATCATCATCACTGACCGACCGAAAGCGAAGGACGCCTCACCAGTCGGTCAGTAATACCATAACATCGTGACGGCACGCTACATTGATTATCGCTAAAATGAGTAGACAGTACGAATTTTCAAACGTGGAGTACTTGGCAATGGTACAGCTGTACGCTACTGCCAACTACAACTTGGAAGAGGCTCGGCGTTTGTATTCCTAGCCGGAGCATTTAAATGCACTACGGCTACGTGGAATTGAAAGCCCTCAAATTCCCTCCACACCTACCATCTTGGCTGCAACCCAACGTCTTCTCGACCACGGACAATGCGCAAGGTCAAGGACGTTTAAATTATTATTCGCCGGAGTTTGAAGAAGATGTTCTTGAGTACTTCGAGCGCGATCCCCGGCGGAGCACAAGGATGGCAGCACGAGAATTCGATGTTAGCCAAAACTTCGTATGGAAGATATTACGTACACAAGGATTACATCCGTATCATTTTAATACACAACGTAATAAACAACACTGACGCACCGGCAAGAATCGCCTTTTGCCAGTGGTTGTTAAATAATACAAACGCCAACATACTGTCACTGTTTACTCGAGTGGGACTATACAATGTGCACAATGAGCATTACTGGACTCTAATTAACCCCCACTTGATACGAGAAAACCATCACCAGGTTCGTTTCAGTGTGAACGTTTGGGCCGGTATTATTAACGACCAATTAATAGGGCCTATTTTTATTGAAGGTCATGTAACCGGCAACTCGTACTTAGAGATATTAAGGACAGTAATATCTGAGTTAGTAGACGATGTGCCGTTAGCTTACTCGAGAGGTATGTTCTACCAACACGACGGCTGTCCCGCTCATTACGCGAGTGTAGTGCGTGCATACCTGTACAATGAGTTTAGTGATCGGTGGATAGGTCGAGGCCTGTGCCTTGACCACCTAGAAGCCCGGACTTAACGCCCCTTTTTTTTCGTGCGGAAAATACCTCGGATACCACCTATCGGTGGCATGTTGGACTCGAACCGACTAAAACCGCACGCCGTCTCGGGTACTAATAGCCGGGGAACCAGGTATACCCTAGAAAGGAAGTCCCTGGTGCCGGACTTAACGCCCCTGGATTTTTTCTTATGGTCGGAAATAAAAAGACTTGTTTATACACGGGAATATGAAAGCCGTGATGATTTACGCATTGCGATAGTGGACGCTTTTGATAAAGTGAAAAGTGATAGAGACACATTAAGAAAATTAAAAAACAATTGCATTAAACGTGGACGTTTGTGTATTGAACGCAGCGGACTCCATTTTGAGCAGTTGCTTCGATACAGAGAAGTGTAAATAAACTGTAAATAGGTATGTAAGTTAATTATTCTGTAGATAGCTCCGATTTTTTAAATACGCCTGAAATATTTATACCTACAGTCAATTGATTTGTTGTGAAAAGAACAATCGTGGTTAATAATCGAACAGAAGTTTATGGTCCTAAGCCCGTGTAAAGTATGAAGGGCAACCTGGAGTCTATCTACGTAAGTACTAGCTGGCTCGCGCCTATAGGTATACTTTTGTCAGCTGCTGTTAGCGTCAGCGGTGCGCAGCGGCCGCCGAATCGCGCACGGACGTGTTTCATTCATATAAGATAATGAACGAATGATCAGTGCATTACTACTTTTCAAGTCGATTGAGTAAAAATGAATATTAAAACTGAAACTTTTTTAGTCAACATTAGAATTGATTTAATCATTTTTATTGATACTATAGATGATTCCAAATTAAAATGTTTCGTTTTCAAAACGCCTATAAAATCACCGTGTATATCTGAGGCGCGTTGCACATGTTTGTTCGACGACTTCTCCAAACGGAACTTCGATTCGAACAGTCAGTACATGAAATCGTGTTCATAATCCTGAAAGGATTTTCACCTTTATTTACTGAAAGTAATAAATAAATTTTAAATAGTATAAGCTTTACTTGTATCACATCATTTTTACCACAAATTATCGTCTATTTCGTTACAATGATAGTAAGCTTAAGGAAGCATATACATAATATAGAAACGAGTAGCGATGAACTTAATTCTTATACCAAAGCATGAAGCTCAAAATCGATCTAAGTGGCGTGCAATGGGAGAGGCCTATGTCCAGCAGTGGACTGCGATAGGCTGATGATGAAAGCTTCCTTAAGATGTTCATGCTCAAATATGTCTAGAGATGTACTTTTCATAATTATCATCCTCTAAGCCATGAGGCGTACATAGCTAAACATAAAACCTTCCTAAAGAAAGGATTAGGGTTTTCACAACTACCACATCTGACCAATTATACATCCACATGTATTAAGTAACAAATTCATGTGACATTGATTTTTATTTAATCATCAATACGTTCAATAAAGCGACTTGTATTGTCACTCACACATACACCACACTGATATCTATATCTACATTACAATTTACATTTTATCTTTACATACATAAACACCCTTATGAGTAAGTAATAAGGTTGATTATTTTATGTTTGGATGGCAAATTTTACAAATATGATACCACACTCCAGTCTGTGTTTAAATAAGTCAGTCACGTGAGTGCATTGTTACGGAGAACACATTTTACGCTAAAACGTAAGTAACAAATAACGCATTATGTTAATACATGACATGAATAATTTATCTATGCGGGAAGTACAGATAAACGTGTTTTATGAAGTGTGTTTATGGATTATTTATAACTCGACCTTATAGTATTCTTTTTTTAACCTAAAGCACGTTCGAAGTTCGTTTTTTTAGGCGCATGCGACGCTGGTTTCGTATCGATTTGAATCGATTAGAATTCGCGAAACATCATAGAATAGATTATTATTGAATTGCTAATTTATCAGAAATTTAGAAATTCTTTATTTCTGTCAAGACTAATATCATTGTGATTTGTGGTAATAATAGGTATGGGTCAACCTTGTATTGTCTAGCCAAAGTTGCCAAAGGAAATGTTTAAGGATCGATAACAATTTAGGTTATGGAATTGGATTAAAACCAATTTATTAATTCTTATCTAGGTACGTACGTACGTACGTTATATTAAACCAATTATGTGGGTACTTGTTGATTTATTACCTACTTTTTTTATTTATCAAATAAAGTTCAGTAAATCTGGTTTGTATACATAGCATTCTTAAACAACTAGAGAGAGAGAGAGAGCGGATCAGCTGTCTCCCGATCCCGCTCTGCGGCCTCCTTCTGGAGCATAACGTCCTCGCAGTTGGAGACCGCGGCTGCCCATCCCTCGCCACACGCCAGCATTGCCGCGATCATCGCGCCAGCAATGCTAGTGGTGACAAGTATCGTCACACAGTATCGTGACAAGGACTCGACGCTCGGACGGGAGTCCAGTCTGTCATGCACGGCAGTCTTCCAGCGTGTGCTGGTGTCGTGTGTTCCACAGTGGTGGCATTGTGCCGTGACCTCCCGTCCGATTCGATGCAGATACTCACCGAAGCAACCGTGCCCGGTGAGCATCTGAGTCAATCGGTAGGTGACACAGTCGTTCCTCCCTACCCACGCTTCGAAGCTCGGCAGGACGGCTCCGACGGCGCGTTGGTTAGCACAGCACTGGATTTCGAGCCGTGCTTGCCACGCCCGCAGCGCCTGCGTATGCGCGTTCCGCCGTAGCATTCCGGGCTCATGATCTGGCGCGGCCTCTTCAACATTCCGACCGACAGAGCGAACTTGGTCATAGACCATCACATTAATGATTGCTATACCGTTACGACTTCCACACACTAGAAAGCATAGTTCTCTGTCAGCTATCGAAGACACGCCGAACCAAGAAGTATCTACTTATCCTGTATCGCGCAATGAAAGAAAACATTTGATTTTGTGCCGCAGCCTGAAAGGCGTGAACAGCTCGCCGGGTCAGGGGATACTCCCTTATCGTTAGAGACTTATGTACTCGTAAGAATAGTTCCTCCACATCGGATTTAACGGCTAAGTTGGATAATAGTGTAAATTCTGCTATTTTATGCTAACGTCAAGCAACTGTCGTTTTTAACACGCTTTTATTAGCTTCACTTGTATGTTTGTTCGTTTGTTTGTTTGTTTGTTTGTTTGTATGTAACCGACTCCTTTGAGCTCGATTTTGCCCTACTTTGAACGATCAGATTTGATTCAAACTTTGCACACCTGTCAAAGGTCGATGACAATGCAATAATCCGATCAAAATATCCGATTATCCTAATTAGATTCGCCAGGATTAATTAATTTCTTTCCGCATCCTTTGCATGCGAGTAAGAGAGACAGAGCTAGTGCGCGAACTACGCATGCGTGCAGTAAGGGCGGTTGATAGTTAGCAAATCGAACTAAGTAATTTATAGTTTAAAAAATTTAACTAAAAAATGAAAAATAAATAATATTATTAATAATACAACTATTATTTATTTTTATTTATTCTTTAAAAGTGTAAACATATTAATAAGATAATTTTAATGTACATAGCATTTTCTAAGCCACGAAGGTTTAAAATGAATACTAAGGGTTAGTCTAGATCGTTTCCAAAAAAGTAATAACAAAAAAAGTACTGAATACAGTATAACACAATAATCCTACATAAATAAAAAAAAGCGAAACTGATAAAACAAGAAACAAAATAAAAATGTATTAATTTTGATTCAAAAGAAATGGTCGCACTTTAGATTTAAAGTTCATTGGCGTTATAATATCTCGCAATTCGGAGGATAGGTTGTTAATAAGTCTGGGAATGAAGTATTCGGTTGTTCTTTCACCGTATATATTATTTGTCGCCGCTCGATTAGTTTCGCACACTATTCCGAGCAGCGACCCTTGTATATGCAGCGTGTTCTTTTTTAAATGCACTGGTAAAAAAGGTTTCTTTCAGTAAATTATATTAACTGAAATAATCAATTTTTTTTTAAATATTAATGTTGATATTACTAAGTACGCGCTTTTGCCTACGCTGGTCTACAAAACCAGCATTTTATTTACCCGTGTAAGTGATACTACGAGTGTCTACTGTTTAAAGTATAATAAATGGCTGGGAGCACGGATACGAGCCCTTATTTAAGTACCACCACGGAATAAATAATAGGTACCGATATACTACATACGCACTGCCCCTTTAAGATAGTTAAATCTGACACTTGCATCGGATCCCTGTGATAGGACCTGCATATAAACCTGTGTTAAGCTCTCCTTTTCTTGCTTTTCACTGAGTGAGTTTTATCTCAGATTTTTTAAAGTCGAGAACTGGGCAGTCAGTTGGAATTTTCCTTCGTACGTATATCTAGATAAAATAAAAAAAAAAGTTTATCTAATCTACAACTTTGCAAATGGTTTGCCCCTCAAATGCAGACCACCTGTTCTGTTCAGAGCTCTAGTTTTTTAAATAATATATCACACATCTCTGTTCCCAAAGAGGGTAGATCCTGCACTATGGTAATCAGACTGTTGATGAACATACTTATATATTTTTAAGAACATACATATTATACAAAAATTACATCCAGACATAGAACAAATGACCGTGCTCATTACACAATATTTGTCCTGGGTGGGAATCGCACCCACGACTTCCGGCTAAGCCAGGGTCACTAACCACTAGACCAACAGGCCCGTCAATTGAGAAATACAAGGTGTATTTTTACACCTTTATTTCATTTTATTTGTAGGTTTACTAAAAAGAACTTTAAAAAAAGTATTTCGTGAACTATTTATATTTCATGTAAAAAAATGCCAGTAATTTAACTCATGATAATTGATTTCAAATTTTAAATAATAAAAGTTTATAAGCACCGTATTTCAATGAAAAATTACTAATTCCGTGCATTTTTTAATTCCCAATTCCGAGTGTACAAAATACAATAGAAAGAAAAGAGTTAATGGAGAGAGACAGAGATATATTGAGAATATTGAAACATCACTATTCTATAGACCTTTAGAATACCTTCCAGCTATATTAACTATAACTATTGCTAATATAGCTAATGATACTACTGCTTGAACAAGGTTTCTACGACCTATATTGACTATTGACGCAATCAATTCTATATTGTAGTTACACGTATAGATTGATCTCAATTAATAGAACTTTGCGGCGAGGACTGAAACTCAAACTGTTATAACTTTTTTTTTTCATTGAATGTTAAAGATAAGTACTAGAAGTGTTTAATGCTAGTGTCCCATTTTCATCTACACCCTGTATAGGTCCTATACCTATAGCTCCCTATAGGGAAAGGTAGGCTATGACCACGGCATGTCGAAACGTCAAACAATTTAAAGGTTCCTAATGATACGTGATTGCAGTAACTACCTTAATTATGTGCATAAATAATTATGTGTCCAGTCCTTAATTTTGTTTATAGTATGCCGTGGGTGCGACCAGAAAACGTTCCCATTGGACAAGTATGGAGTCGGTTTAAAGGACGAGAACGCAATGGAGAACCCGCTAAAAAGTAAGATAACATCTTAACTATGAGTAGAGTGAATGTAATTTCCCTATTCTGCGGTTCCCAACATGTCCCCAAATTGGAAATTTGCTGACTGACTTAATTAAAATTGGTAATCAAATGTGAAAAACCGAGAACTGCCTTCCCATTTTATTTTATAAGTTTCCAGCTATGATTTATATTATTTTATATTATAAAGCCACATTCCAAGTTGATCCTTGTGTAGTAGTTATACTCTATTAAAAGAATACCCTTCAATAATAAATGGTTCTTATTAAAATATATGCTATTGGTTGTATAATATAGTATAATAATAGGCGCAAACTTAGATTATATGTAGTGTGTATATATAGATTATATGAAAATGAAAACGCTTTCAAACAATAACCGTCGTTCGAACAATCTCATTCAGGATGTAAGATCCTACCTATACTCGTACATACATTCTACAAGCCATTAACAAATCGTGTCAGTCACTCACGTTCAGAGCAGTCAAAGCAAAATAAACTTTAACCAACAGTAATTAAATATCATTTTATATTGAAGTTATTTGGCTCGAAGGACCATGTAGCTATAATTATTCTAGTGTTATATATTTTTAAATGAGCATTTTAAGCTTTCAGATACGGGATATGGATGAAAAGTGGAAGAAGCCGTGCTTAGATATGATGCAGGAGACGTTCTTGAGAGATGAACCTCTTTGTATTGCATTAGGTAAGCGTGGAAGCAATAGGCAGGAATTTACTAACTTAGCTTTATTCTTCTATAAATGTTTTAATGTTCTCCGATAGCGACAAATAGCAGAAAAAGAAAATATACACAGGTAAATTTGATAGATGTGTGTGGCACTGCGAAACTACTTATCGCCAAATAAAAAAACTTATCCCCGTATTCATTATTGGACGAAAGCTCAACCATGGGATGAACCACAGGTTGCTTTATCATTTAAGAAACCTAGATTATATTCAGGTTTAGTGCATTTCGTCTAGTAAATTTGAATATTGGATTTTCACCCAGCACTGCATAGGTCCTAAATCCACGCTTTCGGTGCGCATCCTATGGTATCTAAATATATCTGATATCAAAATTTTCAAAGTGCTTTTACTCGTAAATCCTAAGAAAAAAATGATTATGATTGAAGTTGCTACCTATTTTAAACTACGCAACCCTAAGCATTTCGTATATAATTCGTAATAGCATGTGCTGGGCAGTTTACCTCCAGAAGTTAGGTTCTTTTGCCTTAGTCTGTCTTATAGGCTATTTAAAACACGGCAAAAGTTAAAAACACTTTTTCGTTTTTTGGAAAACCGAACAATGAACCCTCTCCAGACGACCAACGAATTAACGAAGTAAGCTTACTACTGCCGTTTGAAGTTTATTACAGACTTCACTTCGTAGCGATAAACCTTTTCAAAGTCCAGTTAAAGCTACTTACAATAAATAGTACGGAATCCCCACAGACATGTCCTTAAGGGTTCTCTGACAACCCTGATAGAAGTATGTATTACATAGCTTATGTAAGTTAGCATCTTGTGTGCTTTTTTCTAGGCATAGACAAGGATCCTGAGTCAATAGAAACAATCAGAGCCAACTGGGAGGGTTATGTGTTGCAGAATATGAGCTTGGCTTGCTTTACGGAGGTAGACGGTGAGCCTGACGAACTGGTAGGGTTCAATATCACCATTGTCAAGACTCGGGACGACGAGGAAGGTGATTTTGACAAGGTTAATATTTTATTGACTTAAACAAAATAAATAAACAAATTTAAAAATATTAAGAATACGAAAACAAACGAAAAATATTACAATCTTTGAATTCTATCAATAGTAAATATTGTTCAAGTTGCTTGTTATCAAGCGGAATCATAATCAAATCGATAGTGACGGCTAGCCGCAGATAACTCTAAAATAAACAAAATAATCATTTATTTTTATAATTCTTATCGATTGTGAACGCAAAAATTTAATAATACACAGTTAAATATTATAAAGTTTCATTACACACTAAATGTACTCACGCTTGTATCTCCAGAGAGGAAGCAGTAGCATGTAAAATAACCACATTATGCTAACTATGCTTTCGTCCTGTACACGTATAAATAATGAGAGGCCTATTGCCGTTCATTAAGCGCATTGCGAAATATAGACATGAGTACTGAAAGAGAAAGATAGATAAGAAAAAAAAATAAAGATAGGGATTGTTTTTAGGGGTGGGTTGGGGAGAGTTAGTAATGAGACGAGCAGCTCAGGGTCTTGCAAATCGAGGCCTCTAACATTATGAAATTACAAATACTCTTACTCATGTTTGTATCACTGAAGAGGTAAACAGAGGCGTATAAAATGCCCACATTATGATGACTACTCCTCCACATACAACACAAATATTAATATGTCAACATCTCTCGTTCATCCCCGCTAATATCTGAAAGTTTCTCGGAACTCTAGGTAGCGGTAAGCAGCGATCGGGTGGTTTACAGGAGATAGTTGGTTTGGATGAAATAGATCCCCAGACCAAGTATCGTATTGTTGACTAGTTGGCGAGGCATATATCCCTAACATAAATCCCTTCCAATTTTCTCCGTTTGAGATCAAGAAAATAATACTCTCTATCATATCTAACGCTGTTGGTTATGATCAACTCAGTCGACGCATGATCACAACATACTTTGACCACATCTTACCAGTAATCACCCACATCATCAACTACACCTTAGATTCCGGAATTTTCCGAACACTTTGGCGCAAACCTGCAAATTGCAGGCTTACCTAAAATTGCAATCTGGCTTTACGTCTGGTCTTGGCACCACTTCCGCTCTTCTTAAAGTAACTGGCGATATCAGGGCGGGTACGCAGGACACAAAGGTTACTGTTTTGGTCCTGATCGACTTGTTAAATGCCTTCAATACCGTCAATTACGATATCCTCTTTTTTATTATGCGTTATCTAAAGGTGTGGTTTAAAAGTAAACACCACAAAATGTCAAGCCATTCTAGTTGGAAGTCTCTGATTGGTGAGCAGAGTAGACATTAAGACTCTTCCGGCTATTATTTTTAATGGGACTACCATTCCTGTTTATCAATCTTTAAAAGATCTTGGCTTACACCTCTATTGCACACTAAATTGGCGTGAACAAGTTGCAAATCAGTGCCAGAGGGTTACTAGAACACTTCGTGCTCTATATCGCCTAAGGAATTTCTTACCCGCAAATACCAAGACCTTGCTTGTGCAATCTCTTATCTTCCCCTTAATCGACTATGCTGATGTGGGCTGTTATGACCTGAATGCAGATCTTCTAGATAAATTAGACCGTCTTCTTAACAGCTGCATTCGATTTGTTCATAATCTCCGTAAATTTGATCATGTATCCGCTTTCCGTTCGCAGCTCAATTGGCTACCAATTCGTCTACTATCTTATACTCTATCTTCTTCAACATATTTATACTCCTACTTCCAAATTTTATGCAGTAATCACGAAACAAACCTTCGGTCCTCTAATAACCTACTTCTTTGTTGTTGTTGTCCCCCCCCCCCCACACGACTGAGTTTGTTGTCTTATCCTTTATTGTGCAGTCCATTCTTCTTTGGAATGAGCTTCCCTTCGAGGTCAGGATCGCCAAAAACACTTTCTCATTCAAAACTAAAGTGAAGCAGTATTTTGTAAAACTGCCAGAATCGAGAGAGACGTATGATTGTCATCTACTATTATTAATGGTATTTATTAAGGTATTTATTTATTATGTGTATTTATGTACGTATGTATAATGTGGATGGGTTCTAGATTATTATAGGTTTATGTATGCGTATTTGATATTATAACTACAAAAAAACTTTAACCAAAATGCACCTACTTCCTGCTTTCTCTGCATCACCCAAAAGTTGACTGCTAGAGGTATTAAGTCCGCAAATGCACCAAAAGTGCGTGATGTATAAATAAATATATTTCTACATTATATACACCCAGAAACGTGCTCATCTCACAATTTTTGTCCAGGGCGAGAATCAAATCTACGACCTTTGGCTTAGCACTCGGGATTACTAGCTACTAGACCAACAGGCCAAAAATTGTAACACAATGAACTGACTTAGACAAACGGTTATAATCGCATATTACAAAACAAAGATTAAGATTGGCGCTGATTGACAAGAAAAAATGTGGGATTGTGCCAACAATCGAAATATCTCCTAAATTTAATAATGAGTGCGAAATGATGAAATAATACTTATTATAAACATTTACCTAACTGCAAGAATAGGTCTACAAGCACTCGTTTCTAAATAATTGAGAGCTAAAGACTAAACCTATGAGTTTCTTCAAAACCTCTTTGCCCACCTCAATCTACATTTTAAAAAAATGTGGTGACGTGTGAAGTGGTGGAAATAATAAAAATAGGAATTACGGTATTCGTAGCGAATCTTTGCTCAATCGAATCCAATTTCAATCAAATAAAATATCATCAGATCAAAGGTGAATCGTGGAAGAAGTTACTCCGAACCCTGATCGTCGCTGAAGAATTAGTGGACTTATTCGATCATTACGGAGTCGACAGCTTCCTGACATCCAGCGGTCTGACAGTGCTCCCCAAGTTTAGGGGGCAGAATATAGGAGCTCGCTTATTTGAAGCTAGGTATAGTGTACAATTTTATTTTATATCTGGTTGTAATTGATAAAATTTTGATCAGGGCAGTAGAGTTTCTTCCCCCAAATATGAGGGAAAACAAATGAACCTGTTGCAGTGGGGAATCGCCACGTTGGTTTATTAGTGGCATTTATTTATAATACCATATATTTATACCACATAGCATATTGGAGGACAAACGAGCAGACGGGTCACCAGATGGTAAGTGACTACCACCGTCCATGGACACATGCAACTGAAGAATACCAAGTGCGTTGTCGGTCTTTGAGTCCTGGTCCCCCAGAAACAACGGCCCCTCCCGTTGATTCTGGGCCCTTGTTACCTCACTATCCCGGTGAAAACCGACGAAATAAATTCTTTACACCGTCAGAAAATGGGCGTGCGCAACCGGAGTGACATGTCGGTTTTTTGTGGTATAGTGGTTATTATTAGTTTTAGATACTATGTTTACACTGTGACAAACATCATTCGTTTGGTACCATTCATTGCTTTTTTATTTTCAGAAAACCATTATGCGCAGCTGTGGGAATTAAAGCTACTGCCACAGTGTTCACTGCTGTTACCTCACAAGTTCTAGCAGCTAAATGTGGCTACGACCTTCTAGCAGAATTAAATTATACCGAAATGATGAAGTATGGGATAGACCTTGGCTCCTGTGATACTCCTAGTGTAAAGCTGATGGGAAAAAAATTTTGAACGCTATATACTCAATAAAAAATATTATTTGATTGTTGACCATGTTTTATAATTCATATTACTGTTCTACTTTTTACGGTTTTCTCACGCTAAAAACAAAGCGATACAGAGTGGAAATATTTCCGAAACTAAATGTACTCGTAAATAGTGCTTTATTAATAACCAAAACAAATTTGCCCACTGAACGTTTTAAGGAAGTCATTCAGGTTTTTGTTACCAGCGTATGTTTATAAAATTTATATTTATAAACTACGCATAATTGGGAAAATCTTACTATTTGTACCTGATATCTGGTACCTGCACTGTCAGACCTGATGTCATCAAAACCTTAAATACGAGTATATCATACTGACTTTGATTTTTACATTTTATGTAGGTACCACACTTCGAACATTTTTAATATCTAGAAAAATACTGACCACAAAAAATTAAAAAAAAAATATCGAACGTACATTTATTTAATAATAGATATAAATGTAGGTAACATTTGTCTTTATTACTGGCACTTATCAGTATTCGATATCCTAAGTACTTATATGAAATTGTGATACCCCTTATCAACAAAAAGTTACCTGATGACCTAGAGTTGTGTTATTACAGACCTGACATAGATGGGTAGGTAATCTACTATAGAGATTCTTTATCATAAATACGAAAAAACGCAATAAAAATTTTAATTCCATTATAGACTTCGGTCTATGATAAAAATAATGTTCTGACTGGAGTTGTTCCACAATATGATGCCCTCACCATTTCATTTAAGGTTAATTTTTAACAATAATGGCACCTTATTTAATTATTGTAGGTACATACATTGGAGATGACTGACCAACCCTGTTCTGTCTGTCATTTAACTGACTGACTGAATAACTGATTTAAATGCAATATACAATCTGTATAAGAATGTTCTATACCACGGTAATCATAACACGTTTGATAGCATATATCAGACGCCTGTTCTACCGTTTTCTTGACTGAAAGCAGTAGGTATGTGTGTATACACTACACAACTACTTTAGTCAATAGTTAATAGGGTGTCCCGAAAATTTTTTATTCTTATTTTAGCTACTTAAGCTGTTAGACGTAGATTAGCGTAAAAATAATTCAAAAAATATTTAAAAATATCCTTAGGGCTCTACCAGCATTTTTATTTACTGAAAATTCTATGTTTCTATTCTATGTTTCTGGAATATATTCTATGTTTTATGAATCAATCCTGTTTTGTCTTGTAATTTTATCAATAAGAAAAGCCTCGGCTATGATTTGCAAGTATCGACAGGTTGTTTTAGCGATCAATCGGTTTGGATCGGACTTGCAAAATTCCTACAAAATTCATGTTTTGACTTGATTTTCGTACGTGCGCTACTTCTACAACAAGACAGTTCGTCTCATGTCTTATTCGATTTTACTCTTGTAAAGAGTTGTTCTATTCTTCTTTGAAAGAAAAACGTAATTTGCGTTACTTAATCATAAAAATGTGTTCAAGGTGAAGGGAGACTACTTGTACTATATTGGGACCTTATAAAGAACTTGACGATCGCCAATTACCTGTTATAAAAGACGTTATTAAGTGCATTTTATTTACTAAAGTGAATTAAAACTACAGAAAAACGGAAAAGATCCATCGAACACAGAAGTCTTTTCAATAGTTTCTGGAAAACTGAACACAATTTGGACCAAAGCTTCAATTCCCATCGTTTCTAACGTACGGGTTACTCAACTGCTAACCGCATATTTTAACAAATATTTATCACTAATAAGATATCCTAAAAGTAAGAGAAACGATGGCTATGACAACAAAGTTAAGTGCTTTTTGGAATCGTCAAATAAGCTTTTTGACATCGCTGCTTGTAAGTGCACTTCGTTTGAAAATTGTTCCTGCACTAAACCCAAGAAAGTTCCCATTTCTGAAAGAGATTTTTTACTGGACCAAAGAAATGATAGGAAAATGGCAATAAGCGGCGTAGACGCAAAAGAAACTGCAAGGCTTTTAAAGAAACATCAAAGACAAGAAAATTTGAAGCGGACAGAGCAAGCATGTTTTCCGAGTACTTCAGAAACCGATACTGTACTGGTACGCGTGTTGCCGCCTCGTTCACGGTTTTTTTTTCCCCCTAAAACAAGGTGAGGGGTCTTATCTTTATTGGGCAATATTTTGGAATAAATTCCTTTAAGTCAGGATTAAAACATTTTTACTAAATAATAAAGTAAGATATTGAAAATGCCAAATCGAAAAGACGTATATTATTCTGAAAATAAAAATTAAAAGTTTAATTATTATTTAATAGTATTAATGAATGTAATATTTTAAATATTATCTATTTAAATTTAAAAAAAAAAATTTAAACCAAATATCTATTTTTTTTCGATTAATCGTTGATTGTAAGTTCTGTATTAAAGTCCTGCAAACCCAAAATCGGATTAAAGTAAATTATTTTTTACTAACCCAAAAAATGTATAAATTGCCAGGGCGAGATCCAAAAAACTTTATTTAAATAACTAAAAAAAAACGGCAATGTAACATTTCAGACTTGAAAACGTTTAATCGGTCCCAAAGACTGTTGGCGCTTCAAAAAATTTAAAAAGTGCACAATGAAATCTCCTAAATTTAATAATATTGGAAATGATAAAATATAATAAATACGTATCAGATATCAACACGTCGCTTGATTTGAAGCTTAGACTAAATGATTTCTTCAAAACCTTTGCATTCAAAAAAAAAATTCAGGTATGTAAAGTGGGAAACTAAAAAAAATCATAATTATTATAAATATAATTTTTTAAAAAAAAAAAAAAGATAAAAAACAGGGAACGAAAAAATTTAAAAAATTTATTTCTTAAAGAATTATTTACTTCGACAACACCTGGGGTTACGAAAGGTTTAAATTAAAATTTAGAAATCAAATGAAATTAGAAAATTTGGGGGTTTAGGGAATTAAAAATACAGGGAAAGAGTTCATTAAATACAAAAAAATGAAGGTGGTCCTGTTGGTCTGCAAAAAAATTCCCCCCTTTTTTTTCCCTAATGGTACCAAAGGGCCGAAAAAATCTCAGACCTATGGAAAAGCAATGTGGAAAGTAAATGGTGTTTTTTGAGTGTGGCAATTTGCAATTCCTACATTGTGAGGATTTATTTACAAATTTAAAGTATTCTACAACCTTTTGTCCCCGGTTGGGCCCGCCATTGAAAATGGATCAAGTGGCTAAATGGCAATCATTTTAGTTTTATGTAACGTAATCTTTTAATCTTGAATTTGTTAAGGGTTAAATATCAGTTTGTCCCCCTAAAAATTTAAAAAAAAAATTTTTTTTAAAAGGTTTTTTTCCCCGTTTTTAAAAAAAGGGGGATAGGGGGAAAAACCCCTTTTTTGAAAAATTTTAAAATACAAAAAAAATTTTAATTTTGGGGGAAAATTTTTTTCCCCAGGAAATAAAAATAAAAAAGGGGAAAAAAAACATTTGTTTTTTAAAAATGTGTTTTAAAAAAAAACCCCAAAATTTTAAGAATTTTGGGTTTTTCCAAGCTTAGAGTTCAAAATTTTGCCACCCAATTTAATTTAGTTAAGGGAAAAAAAGGAATAACAATAATTTTTAAAAAAAAAGATACTTGCGTGGAAAAAATTCCGACCTCCCATTCCGATCAGAGTAATTTAATATAATTAATGGGGAAATATAAATTTAGAAAAAAAAAAAATATCACTAATGGTAATAATTGGGGATATAAATACCATATATTTATACCACATAGCATATTGGAGGACAAACGAGCAGACGGGTCACCAGATGGTAAGTGACTACCACCGTCCATGGACACATGCAACTGAAGAATACCAAGTGCGTTGTCGGTCTTTGAGTCCTGGTCCCCCAGAAACAACGGCCCCTCCCGTTGATTCTGGGCCCTTGTTACCTCACTATCCCGGTGAAAACCGACGAAATAAATTCTTTACACCGTCAGAAAATGGGCGTGCGCAACCGGAGTGACATGTCGGTTTTTTGTGGTATAGTGGTTATTATTAGTTTTAGATACTATGTTTACACTGTGACAAACATCATTCGTTTGGTACCATTCATTGCTTTTTTATTTTCAGAAAACCATTATGCGCAGCTGTGGGAATTAAAGCTACTGCCACAGTGTTCACTGCTGTTACCTCACAAGTTCTAGCAGCTAAATGTGGCTACGACCTTCTAGCAGAATTAAATTATACCGAAATGATGAAGTATGGGATAGACCTTGGCTCCTGTGATACTCCTAGTGTAAAGCTGATGGGAAAAAAATTTTGAACGCTATATACTCAATAAAAAATATTATTTGATTGTTGACCATGTTTTATAATTCATATTACTGTTCTACTTTTTACGGTTTTCTCACGCTAAAAACAAAGCGATACAGAGTGGAAATATTTCCGAAACTAAATGTACTCGTAAATAGTGCTTTATTAATAACCAAAACAAATTTGCCCACTGAACGTTTTAAGGAAGTCATTCAGGTTTTTGTTACCAGCGTATGTTTATAAAATTTATATTTATAAACTACGCATAATTGGGAAAATCTTACTATTTGTACCTGATATCTGGTACCTGCACTGTCAGACCTGATGTCATCAAAACCTTAAATACGAGTATATCATACTGACTTTGATTTTTACATTTTATGTAGGTACCACACTTCGAACATTTTTAATATCTAGAAAAATACTGACCACAAAAAATTAAAAAAAAAATATCGAACGTACATTTATTTAATAATAGATATAAATGTAGGTAACATTTGTCTTTATTACTGGCACTTATCAGTATTCGATATCCTAAGTACTTATATGAAATTGTGATACCCCTTATCAACAAAAAGTTACCTGATGACCTAGAGTTGTGTTATTACAGACCTGACATAGATGGGTAGGTAATCTACTATAGAGATTCTTTATCATAAATACGAAAAAACGCAATAAAAATTTTAATTCCATTATAGACTTCGGTCTATGATAAAAATAATGTTCTGACTGGAGTTGTTCCACAATATGATGCCCTCACCATTTCATTTAAGGTTAATTTTTAACAATAATGGCACCTTATTTAATTATTGTAGGTACATACATTGGAGATGACTGACCAACCCTGTTCTGTCTGTCATTTAACTGACTGACTGAATAACTGATTTAAATGCAATATACAATCTGTATAAGAATGTTCTATACCACGGTAATCATAACACGTTTGATAGCATATATCAGACGCCTGTTCTACCGTTTTCTTGACTGAAAGCAGTAGGTATGTGTGTATACACTACACAACTACTTTAGTCAATAGTTAATAGGGTGTCCCGAAAATTTTTTATTCTTATTTTAGCTACTTAAGCTGTTAGACGTAGATTAGCGTAAAAATAATTCAAAAAATATTTAAAAATATCCTTAGGGCTCTACCAGCATTTTTATTTACTGAAAATTCTATGTTTCTATTCTATGTTTCTGGAATATATTCTATGTTTTATGAATCAATCCTGTTTTGTCTTGTAATTTTATCAATAAGAAAAGCCTCGGCTATGATTTGCAAGTATCGACAGGTTGTTTTAGCGATCAATCGGTTTGGATCGGACTTGCAAAATTCCTACAAAATTCATGTTTTGACTTGATTTTCGTACGTGCGCTACTTCTACAACAAGACAGTTCGTCTCATGTCTTATTCGATTTTACTCTTGTAAAGAGTTGTTCTATTCTTCTTTGAAAGAAAAACGTAATTTGCGTTACTTAATCATAAAAATGTGTTCAAGGTGAAGGGAGACTACTTGTACTATATTGGGACCTTATAAAGAACTTGACGATCGCCAATTACCTGTTATAAAAGACGTTATTAAGTGCATTTTATTTACTAAAGTGAATTAAAACTACAGAAAAACGGAAAAGATCCATCGAACACAGAAGTCTTTTCAATAGTTTCTGGAAAACTGAACACAATTTGGACCAAAGCTTCAATTCCCATCGTTTCTAACGTACGGGTTACTCAACTGCTAACCGCATATTTTAACAAATATTTATCACTAATAAGATATCCTAAAAGTAAGAGAAACGATGGCTATGACAACAAAGTTAAGTGCTTTTTGGAATCGTCAAATAAGCTTTTTGACATCGCTGCTTGTAAGTGCACTTCGTTTGAAAATTGTTCCTGCACTAAACCCAAGAAAGTTCCCATTTCTGAAAGAGATTTTTTACTGGACCAAAGAAATGATAGGAAAATGGCAATAAGCGGCGTAGACGCAAAAGAAACTGCAAGGCTTTTAAAGAAACATCAAAGACAAGAAAATTTGAAGCGGACAGAGCAAGCATGTTTTCCGAGTACTTCAGAAACCGATACTGTACTGGTACGCGTGTTGCCGCCTCGTTCACGGTCGCTTTCAATAGAACCTTCTACTAAAAGTGACTTAAAGGAGTCTCCATCTAATTCATTTAGTCGGAACACTCTGACGCTGCCAACAGTAGCTAAGGTATGTGATCGATACGGACTATCAACGCGTTCGGCAGCTGCAGTCTCTTCAGCAGTCTTAGTTGACGTAGGAATGGCATCTTCCGAAGATCTAAACCTTGTGATTGATAAAAATAAGATTCACAGAGCTGTTTCAAAGTCACGTACCTAAGCCAGCAAAGACATCGATAAAATTATTATAAAGAGTATCTACTTCGATGGGCGAAAAGATAAAACTCTCAAGATCAATAAAATAGACAGCCGGTACCACCGAAAAGAAGTCTTAGAAGAACACATTTCAGTTCTTACAGAGCCGGGATCTATTTACTTGGGACATACGACGCCGAGTCGAGGTACTGCGAAAGGGATTGTCACTTCTATTATAGAATTGTTAGAAAATCAAGGATGGAACTTAGAAGAAGTAAGTTGTGTGGGTTGCGATGGCACTCCTACAAATACAGGTTGGAAAGGAGGTGTCATTAAATACCTGGAAGACTATTTGAAGAGACCGTTACAATGGTGTGTTTGTATGCTTCACACAAATGAATTACCGCTTCGCCATTTGTTTATGTCTCTAGATGGTAGCACACCTGGGCCGAAAGAATACTCAGGACCTATTGGAAAACAGCTAAATGTTTGTGAAAGTAAACCACTAGTGTCTTTTTGTGCAGTGGCTGGCAATTTGCTCGAATTACCTGATGACATTGTGAAGGAACTAAGTACGGATCAAAAGTATCTGTATGAAATGTGTCATGCTGTGACGACTGGTTCTTGTTCCCCTGAGTTAGAGAGCCGCCAACCTGGAAAAATGGCGCATTCAAGATGGCTAACTACTGCCAATCGCATACTCAGACTTTATGTAAGTACTGTTTCGCCATCAAATAATTTAAAGCTGCTTGTCAATTATGTGGTCAAAGTTTATACTCCAGTTTGGTTCCTCATTAAGAAAAACTCATCATTCAAAGATGGAGCCAATCATATTTTTCAAATGGTTACATACTCCCGATTTTTGCCTGATAAGCAAAGATCTATTGTGAATTCAGTGATCGAGAGAAACGCTTTTTTTGCTCACCCTGAAAACTTACTTGTTACCATGCTATTCGACGACAGAGAGCATATTCGAGAGCTTGCAGCTCGCAAAATATTAAAGGCAAGAGAAGCAGAAATAAGCAATACTCGCAGGGTATTTAAAGTACCAAAACTTAACTTCGATGCGCGATATTACATCGATTTGATATTTTGGCAAGAGTGTGAGATATCCGCTCCACCGATTTTGCGACAGATGTCCGACGACGAACTGAGAATTAAGGCTAAAGAACAAAGCTTCGATGTTATTGATTTCCCCTGTCATACACAATCAGTGGAAAGATGTGTAAAGCTAGTGACGGAGGCTTCTCTAAGTGTCACGGACGCTACAGCTCGGGATGGTTTAATCAGAAACAGATTAAAATCTCGCGCGGAAATGCCTAATTTTGGCCACAAGAACCAATTTCGTATTTTAAATAAGCACTAATTATAAGTATTTAAACTTTACTGAACATTACCTTATGTCTTTGTAGTACCTATAAATTTGATTAAAACCTTTTAAACATTATTTTTGTATCATTTATAGTTTATGTTCGAAACCTCTAAAAATGGCAAATTTGAAAAACTTCTAGGATCGGTAGAGGCCTAAAGATGACAAATATTTAATTAAATTTTGTTATATTTGTAATCTATTCACAAAAACGCAACTTTTGATACCTCTTGCGTAGCAGTCGCTTTAAAAAAATAAAATCCCATTCATTGACGGGACACCCTAATAGTTAAATTATCCGGCTCTATTATGTCTGTGTAACTTCACCGGCAATAATAACTATTAAAAAAGTATATCGACTTAAAACACAATACAACTAAAATAACTAATAATATAATATATATATATATAATTGTATTATATTTTTATATATAATATATATAAAAATATAATACAACTATAATAATATAACTAATAATATAATATAACTATATATAATAAAACAATAATAATAATAATAATATAACTATATATACTTAATAGTTAATATACTGAAGTATATCACTTAAGTATATTAACTATTAAGTATAATTCATCATGATGAGTTGCATTGAATTTTTTTCAAGATTTTTCATTCCGCAATTTTTTGTTGCTATTGTTTTTTTTTCTTCAAATTTGAATGGTTCCGTACTGTAAGTATACCTTCTCAAATAAAAAAGGATTTTTAACCCATTTATAAATGATGGGGTTCTGAGGTAACAAGATTGGTTTCAGTTTTAATAAACAATTCTTTTTCTTTTGTTTGGTTATTAACGAGCAAAATGCAAAGTTTTTTAAAAGTGTGTGACCTCAGAATGTACCCTACTTATATTAATGCAAGTGTGTGGCAAAAAATTAGAAACATGCAAAACCTTTATTTTTTAATAACAAATAATAATTGTACCTGACCACTGGGCTCGAACATTAATCATTTTTTTTAAACAATTGACAAAATTATAGTAAGATACAAAAATACATAACAATACAGTTTGCAATTCTAACAGAGACTCTGGCTAAAGATCCAAACGGAGATGTTTGTTAAAGAAATTTCGGGCACGGCTATTGGTAATCAATTAAACTCTCATTGCAAATAATAAGAAATAAACAGAGTAATGGCAATACCATATCACACACACTGTGCTCTAAATTTTAAAACATTGAGTTGCAAAAATGATTATGATTAATTAAAATAATACTTAATATTACATACAACTAAAAGACGTATTCCATTATAACACAAAATTAGTAGTGAAACTGCTCGATATTGAAAGTTACTTCAATTTAGTCTTACAGTGTATTTAGTTTATAACTCATGAATCAGTAACTATTCGACTAAACAAGTTCTCTTTATGTAGTAACATTATGCAACACTAAGGTTTTGACAGTTCTCCAATCGGTTTGCGAGCTCGTGTCGTGTCATCGTTTACCATTACACGTCGTGTGGTCATACTCACATACCTACTTAAATACAATTTACCTGTAATCCGTGAAGTGCAACGTTGCCTTTTTTGCTACTGCAATTTTTAATTTCAATTTCAAAAATGTCTGCTAATGAAGAGACTCCCCAACTTAAAGCTGGACACCCCCCTGCAGGTATAAACTTAGTTTTGTAACTCTTTGTTTACTTGCCGATGAGGCGCAAAAGTTTTTTTTCATGTCAGGACAGCCATATGGCTTGGGAAATGTATTTCTGCTTAACGATTTAAATAAATAAAGCATTATCTGAAATGAATTGAATCTATGTTTGACAAAATAATCATATTTTTTTTTGCGAAATTATGCAAATGTCTTAAATGTAATAATGACGTCAGTTACAAGAGTGTTGTGTTACAAAAATAGGTGTTTGCAAACAATGAATTGGGCCTCAAGGTCAAAGGCGGTCATAGGATTGGCTGGAAATGTAAAGTAATCTTTCTTTTGATTGAGTATATATACAGTATATTATAGTAACATCAATAAGCTCATTTAGAACATACAATAATTTAAAGAATAAGAAAAGAAGGAATAACAATAAATTGAATATGACATGTTTAGATTAAAAATTCTTTAACAGTGTAGAAGCATTTTTCAGTTTCTTTAGGAGTACACAAAACGATTCAATTCAATGCGTTTATTGCACCCCACAATTTAAAGGGTAATTCTCTTAGATTTTAGGTAAGTTTGTTATAGATCTTGACACACATAAACATGCTGTTTTAATGATAAATGGCAGTCTTCCATTTTGGTACAAGTATCTTCGTTGGATCTTATTGACTAAAGAGACTATTATCGCTGATTTAAAACAAAAACTAATAATAATATCTCAAATATCATTAACTTTACAATGATTTATGAAATTTAAACTGGTAATTTTTTTAGCATCAAGTTTTCAAACAAAATTTTCCTAAAAACATGTTTGAAATCCAATTTAATCAAGATCTTGAATCATCATCATCATCATCAACAGCCCTTAACAGTCCACTGCTGGACATGGGCCTCTCCTTAGAAAGGAGGGGTTGGCCTACTATACCACGCTGGCCAGAATGTTACCAGATCTTGAATGTTCAAATAAAATAAACATGTTACTCCAATGCCATTAATTATGTATACATGTAACTTGTCAATACATCACTCTTGCGCCAAGACATGCAATAATAAAATCTAAATAGTTACCATAACTTTTGTATAACAAATGTTCTCTCAGTGGCTTATGATCTTTTACTTAATATTTCATCATAATACAATTTTTCTTAATAACTTGTCAATTATTTTTACTCCCCACTTAAATCTGGTGCACTTAGTCTCTCATATCTGCACCATGCTGAGGTAGATAGGAAGAAAATGATTGTAGCATTAAAGGGGCCATTGTGTAATTTTATTTCTGCATAAAGTATAATAAATATATATATTCTTATCCCTAATTTAATAAATGTAGAAGTGAATTTGTTTGTAATTAAGACACTCCTTAATTTCACCGATCAACATCTTCACTGGTATACAGAAATTCAAACAAAAGCATTTTTTGAGGAAGTATTGTTTGTAACAAAACAAGTTTAAATCATATTCAGCTATTTATAAGTATATGTAATATAATAATATTCAAGTCCTTGAGTGTTTCTATAAGATGCAGTGCACAGTAGATTACTGCTTAAATTGCAGCTACTTAAACTTTAAAGCTTACAAAGATGTTCCAATTGATGAACTTCATGTTTCTTCTTGATAAAATTTGGAATTCCATAAGACTTAGTACCAAGGGTTTCTGCTACACAAACATTAATGGCTTATATTACCATCTTCAAGTTTCATTTTTGCAGACATTTGACATATATAAAGATTCATATTCACTTCAAATTAGAAATGTTATAAAAATGGGTTGTACAATGATCCTTAAATGTTCACAGTGAAAGCTGGTGGGATGAGAATTACCCAAAACAAAACCACTCACTCAAAGGACACCAGCAAAGAGCCTGCAAATGAAGACCTAACAGGTCTGTCTGGACCATCCCCAGTGCCTTCCAATCCTGTATCCATTGCTGGAGCGCCTAACAGAGGAAATGCTGACTTTACTCCAGAGGCAGCTCAGGTCGCTCACAGCCCTAAACCTCCAACGCATATCACTATGGCACCTAAACCTCACATCCATCAACCCAGGAAGTAGATGTATATATTCACGCACAAGTTCATTTGGTGGTTAAAACCACTACAGGTAATGTGCAAATATTTCCAGACTATAGCAATAGAACCATTATTAAAATTTATATAAAGCTTTTCAGTTTTGAGCATGTATGATGTTGAAGAAACTGCTTTGCCACACCACAACCATATTTAAATCATAGAATGCTTCTATCTTCAATCTGGTCAAATTAATAATGCCAATTAACTGTCTGAATTTGAAAGTAAGGCATTAAGTTTAACTTTTTGACGAGCCTAAAGTATTATATTGGCCAAAAAAATATGCAACATTAGCAAATCACATAAGATATGCTCCCAAAATTATTTTTCGGAAATGTTAAAATTTTTAACAAAACAGTACAGCTCAAAGATTCATGCTCCTCATCTATTTTGGTTATTTGCAATCTCAAAATATTGAAACAAAAATGAAATCATTTAAATAAATGCTTAAAAACTACAAATTGATAACATATCTTTATATTTAAGATTATGAAGTTTTGGTACAAATATTTTTACTGTTTTTGGAGATTATCATCCTTAACAGTTTGTTATCTATAAATAATTCAATGATTAATTCAATTTAAACAAAATAGGCATTGTGTGACACTGCCTGACCTGATTTTTTTAGTTTCATAACTTACATACAAACAAATTCTACATAGAGGACAAGTTCACACAAGACACTTGCTCAAACAGAATTTGGTCATTTTAATCTGTTTTTCAAGAACAACTTTTATTGTAAATGTTCAATAAAATATGTTGTGTGTGCCAACAAACCTAATATTATCTAAGATTTGTATGGAACTACAGAATTACCATTAGAATTATTGACAATGATGCTTTTTTATTTCCATACAAGCCCTAGTAAGTGTTACCACAATTTAATAAGTATTTGTCACTAGCTCATTCGCATTAAGAAAACAGTGACGCATCGATCAAACCCCGCCCCTGACCAATCATTAATCCAATTTCGTACGAAAGCTTGGAACCTGATTGGTCAAGGTGCAAAATTTACTTAAAATTAATGCTAAATAACTTAATGGTTCTATTGTCTGTATGTGACGTATACTGTTTCATGGATTTGATTTAATAATAAAAATGCAAAATGTTTTAACAAAATACAGTAAATTTGTTTATAAACTACTAATATTGTTTGTTGCAACACTAGTAAAGCAAAAAAAACTAATATTATAGCACAGTTTTTGTCTCTAACATGAGAAAATGATGAATATAATAATACCATATAATATATTCTTTAAAAACAATATAAGTGAAATGTGTGTGACAAATTGTAAATTATTAATGACATAATATAATCACATTGCAACATATTGCCTCTGATTCAAACTGAGGATAATATCTTTTGATTTATTATATTATATATATATTAATTTATTTTTTGATTTAATATAATTATATTAAATCGAAAAATATGATTTTCTTTCTTCAATTAAGCTATACAGTGTTCTTCAAGATAGGTGTATTTCTCGTAGATGTTATGATGAATGTTCCTTGCATTTGATAGTACATCATTTGAAGGTTAGTGTACAGAATAAATTGTATGTACTTAGTAAAGAATAAATGTTGTTTAGACTAAAAAAGTATATGGTAATAAAATTCAATTATTCCAAGAAAAAAATTGTTACACCATCATATACTTTATGGTACAGCCATTAATAATAATATACCAGTGACTAGCCTACAGATCTTAAATTTTATACCACTGTATGTCACTAAAAATACTAAGGTCGAGTTACAATAGACAGCAGTTATCAAGTTTTTGTCTGAACAATGCTTATTTGAACTCAATAATGTTTGTAAGAAGTATCAATAATAAGTAGAGTAATTCATTACATAAGTATACAGTGTTACAACAATAAATAATTAAATGTTATAGAAATAAAAATAAAATATGTCACTTAAAGTGCACTGTAGTTAAAGTTGCACAAATTTTCTTTACATTTCTTTAAAAAAGTCAATTTCGTATTTTTTCGATCTCTGTTCATTGTCATTTGGCGATAGAATTTCTTATTTGGGAATATGAAAGCTTGTTTTTAATTTCAAGCTCAAAAGAAATACAGGGAGCTAAATTAAAAAAAACTTTATTTTTATTTATTTTCTTTGAATTTTTTAATTAAAACAACTGTTTTCGTAGGTATTAATTACAGTGGAATTAATCGTATTTTGTTTATAACACAGTGAAATTTATATATATATTGGTGCTAAGCCATTGGAAATTTAATTTAAATAGAGAAGCATTTTATTTACATTCCTAAAACTTAAGCTTTTTATTTCTTTTTCGGTCTGAATATTACGCGTTGGGACCATGTGTGTCAAGTAAAATTTATTTTTTATTAGTTTTAAATTAAATTTTAATAAAAATAAAATAGTTTCTTTTTTTTCTCACTACCCTTTCTTATTATAAGGAAAAAATATTAATATAAGTACCTATCCGTTTTTATTAGACAAGCGTTGAGTCAAGGTCAAGACCTTTCATGATGGCTCAAGATTCATTTGGATAATTATCTGACTTCAGGTCAACTAACAAACCCTAGCTATAGAGAGAGTAGGTTGACGGAACTATACACTGTAATTCTGCAATCTGTGAAGGGACTTCTTACAATAAATTATTGTCCGCGACTGGGACTGTTTTTTGAGGGAGCTTGAGAAAAAAGCATTTTCTTTTTAGCATTTCAAAAAAATCTACTTATTTACAGAATATGTAATGGTGACGACTTGATAGTTATACATTTCGGTCTCTGGTACCAAGTAGTACCTTAGCATGAGAGACTGAACTTAGAATCATATAGGCATGTAAAAGTAAGCCACAGTAGTTTAGCTAAAATCTTGATCTATGCAAGTGACTGGAAGCAATTTAGTAAAACAATTACATTTACGTTCCTTGGGAGAAAAAGAAACGAATTGGACACGCAACACTCAATCTTATGTCATTCGTGATGGCGCAAAACACTAAACAGTGATGACATCATATTCGTTTTTCGCTCTAAGTTGCTCAAAGGAGCGTCATTTTGTTGGGTTATAACAAAAAAATAAACGAGATTATGATCTGATGCTCATTAATACTAGTGTTGGGGATTTATGTGTATAAGATTAGGTGTGTATTATTGAGATATTATGCAGTGGCCGAAGAGTGTTTGTAATGTTGGCACGTGCAAGTGATATGTTAAATAAATCGTATCTTTATTCTATTTACCCTACCCTAGGATGAATAGTTTTTAAATTGCGTGGCGAAAGTTTCCTTGTATCCATCTTAACTACTATTACAATACATATACCTACCTAGAAATCGTTTCTTTTGAAGTGTATCAGCAAAACCTATAGGCTATATAGGCATAGATCAGCGTCATAGTAAACGACAATAAAAAAATGGGTATGACTCAAGTCAAATCCCTTCGTTAAATATTGTAGTAAACGCATCAGCAGAACTCAATTCTGCCCTTTAACCAAACGATGAGACAAGAGTGTTGAGTGCCGAGTGCAATAAATGATTGATTAAAATACTAATATTAATAGGATTTTAGGAGATACATTCCAAAACACAATTTACTCATCATATGTACATACTTTATTGAAAACCAAGTATTAAAAATATACATGATTACCATTATGATACCAGCAAAGGTCAATATTCAAGAAAAACAACATCAAAATAGATAAAGTAATATAAAAATCCTAAATAGGTACATATATATATGTAACCGGTTGGCAGCTGTGGGTACATAAGTTGGATACCTAAATGAAATCCCCTAAGTAAATTGGACTTGGTATAAACAATAAATTATAAAGGCATAAAGTGAGAATCAATTTGGTAGTACTGGGGGTGTTACCGCATAAGTAGGTATCAGAGTTGCAATATCACAAATTTGATAAATTAGTATTTAGTGGTGGTTTTTGATAGCATTTAACATAATTTGAAACAAAATTATTTGTATTGTAATTTCGTAAAAGAGATGTATAAAAAATTAAACGTAAAATAAAAGAATGGGAATGAAAATTTCAAATCAAGGAATGCTTCCCGATTATAAAATACGTTGTCTGATACACAACAGATATTTTCGAACATTATAAAACATCTAGGTACTTTATATATCCGTAACATTTGTAGAAAAATGTATCTTCCTTATATCATTTATATTTCTACATGGACTAGGTAAACCATTGGGTAGGGATGGACTAAAATCTCAATGACCTGTGATAAATCATATGATTAATATATAATATAATCAGACCTGTGCCTAATTTACAAAACAACCGCGACGTATTATTATTATTACGCTAGCGCCAGACTCGCGAAAGGTCTAAAAAAGTCTTAATCTTTTATATTTATATTAAATTAGCATTTTTCTTTTTCTATGACCAAATGACAATCACAAATGAAATCGCAGTTCTTAAACCTAACCACTTTATCATATGATTATGATAAAATGCAATGCACCCAATAGTAGCATTAATTTCCATGTCTACTATTGGGTTATTAATTCGGTAGATTTTTTTCTTTTATGTTGTAACCTCAGAACTCCGGCATCTGTTATACCTGTCGCTTTCACAGCTTTGACAGTCTATCTATACACAATCAATTACCTATGTAAGATGTCTCTAAAACAGAGAGAAACGCTACATTATTGAACAAAACAAACAAATCATTAAAATTTAACACCGCCATATAAAATTGCAAGTAAATAAGGTTGTTCACGCTGTATTTGTCTAGCACATCTTCTATTTAGCAGATTATTATTTCTTGAAGGAGTTAGATATTTTGACTTTGCTCAAATTCGTGTCCAATATCTGTGAACCATAAAATCACGGTACTATTATAATACAGTACTCCAACTTCATACAAACGGACGAAACGCGAGCTATACCTACGCGCCTCGATCTCGGGGTGCGCTCGGGGCGCAGACAGTCACGGCTGTACCGCAGTGTCGAACGGACGGTGTGTTGTTTTTTTAACAATAACCGCGCGAT